TGCTGGAAAAAAAATAAAGCTTGAAAATATTCGGACATGTGGTTACCCATTCCCTTGCCCTACTCTGGGACAGCGCAACTTATCCTGTCCCGAATCCCTCGTACGCTCAACACAAGACTATCCAGATTCCTCCACTTCTGCTGGGGGGCTCCAGTTCTGGAAGGGAGCTCATTTGTCTAAGTCCACAGGCCTTACTTCTCAAAATTTTTGCTTTCTAAAATGACTAGACAACACATTCAAACAAGAAACAATTCAGGAACCTGTAACTGTTTCCAGGTATTTAGAATAAATATATTTTCAAGGAGCCTGAGATTCACAAGCTAGAGCTGGAGTTCCCCGCTTCGCAAGCTACTCTGGGGTATTCCCTAGAGAGTTCCCAGCTGACACAAAACACAGCAGGGAAGCAGACATTATCCTAAGGACCGTCTCCTCCCGGGCTCGTTACCGACTGCCTTCTCCCCACCCCATGACCATCTACCCTGTTAAGCGCTGATGAATCAGGAGCATTTACAGACCACGACCTGGAGTAAAGAACTCACCGCCACAGCAAAATCCAAATGCAAACCTCAGCTCCTGCTCCCCATCAGTAGAATCTCCGCATGAAGAGCCAATAAACCAGTCCAGGTACTCTCCTGCAAGGGAAAATGAAGATGTTGCTGGTTTTAGACACGGAGCCATTCTACCGCTCTCCTCAAAGAGTGAGAATGGATGAACGTGACCCTCCTCAGAGTTAGCCTTGTAGAGGACACACACTTACCTGATCCAAGACGCAGTGCTTCACAAATAGGACACTTCTCCTTCTGTCCCCAAGAATAAATTCCTGAAAGGAAAAATTTCCTCCTTCAGTTAAGGTCCTTGGTTAGAAGGAAAACTAGTTAGTTGCCTTATTCACTTGCCTCGAGGTACCACTTACACAGGAAGTAAGAGACACTGTATTGCAAACAACCACCAAAAAAGGCTTTCATATAAAGGATAATTTTATTGTAAATAAAACGATACATTGGCCTGGCTTTGCACTGCAAGCCCCCGGTCGGTATATATAGACTACTGGTTCAAGGTCTTCTGCACAATCCAGGTTAAAGCAATTTCTCCCTGCTCTGCAGTTTGTTAGACAGGTGTTGACAGATAATAAAGTCCTTTTCTTCATTTCTGAGCTGCCCCCTAGGCACACCTACCTTTTCTGCCTGGGGCATTCAGAGCTGCTCAGTGAGATTTGCTCCTGAACAAGGCTGGGGTTTAAAGACCTGAAGCCCAAATGCCAGTGAACCACAGAGGACAGCTATTTTTTTTCTGAAAATTAAAGACAGACTGAATACTCCCAGCTCCAAGGGCAGGTACCAAGGTGACAGCCACAGGCTGTACGTATTCAAATATATAAAACCCTTCCATCCAGCAGCTATTAACCTAAGCACCAGTCACTGGGATCTCATTCAGCCCCCCTGTACAGCTCCAAGGATCTGGCCTTTGCCTACCAAGAAAGCGTGTACAGCAGGGATACATATTTACTGAGGTTCCACAAGTTACCCTGGCTCTCTGGGCACTTGGAAATAACATGAGTCACCTGAGCAGGAACCAATTTCCCTCTCGGTCAATTTGTTTTGGTAATTAATGGCAAAGGGAACTGTTTGGAGCATCTTCAAGTCCTTTGGAATACTACTCCAAAAATACGAAAAAATCCAGATTGCTGCAACCTCCCGCCACTAGAATAGGCAAAGATCAGATTTACTGGAGAACAAGCAAATAACCTGGAATGCACAGAATCGTCACACCAAGACCAAAATGCCAAGAGTTTGTTTCCTAACAAGCTCAGGGACAGCCAAATCCCCCATTCCCCCAAGTTCCTCTCTGATGGGAATCTCAGACATTTGCCTGCTCAGTTTCAGAATAATGAGACTCCCGGAAGATATTTTTCTCCAAACAGAATATTCTCCATTTCTGCAGCACCTTCCATCGAGGATCCCAATACTCAATATTCGCTGTATATCTCTCCCTGGAAGGAACAGCAGAAACACAACATGACATTTGGAAAGGACACAATAGCTTATTGTTAGCCTGGCACTCCTCCTCCACTCTCCCCTAAATGAGTTTATTCCCAGTTTTTTCCAATTCTGCCAGGATAAAGAGGCCAGATGTAATTCAATTTAGAGGCATAATTACATTTATGTCCACTTGAAACTTTTTTCTGCCAGGACCGTGTTAAGAGACTGTAGTATAAGTGTCGGCCCCAAGCTTATTCACTGTAGCAGCGGACTTAGGAATCCAGATCTTCCTTTTCCATAATCAACAAGGCTGTGAGGAAACAAAGACCGCATTTCGGCTTGGCTCTACTCATTATAAACCATCAGCAAATTCTCTGCAAAACCAGCTGCTTTTTTTCCTTTTTAAATTCATAAAGGCGTCAAATTTATTTCCCATCCTCCCCCCTACCCCGTAACAGTCGAGTCGATATATATAAAAATCACCAAATATGATCTTTTACGATATAAATAAAAAAAAAAGTATGAGGCATCACCGTTTACATGATGTAAAAAGAGCTAAAAAAGAGCGATATAAACTACATTCATAAAAGTGCATCTCCAAACATACAAGTAATGCTTTGGCTTGTTCCTGTGCCGAACGGGTGGCATTGGGTCAGGTACTAGAATACAAGAAGTCCAAGCTGGCACCCCATCTTCTCTGTCTCTGTACGACTGCTATTTACTGTCATTAACACAGACTGGAATACAAGCGCATACACAGAGTAGGCACATTTCAGCATAGGTGGTGGGAAGGACCAGAAGCTCTGGCGGGGAGAGGACGGAGCCCATCAGGCCATGATGCTCTTTGCTCTGCTCTGGAACAGCCTTCCATGATGCATATGAGGTAAAAGCCACAACAGATCCTGAGGATTTAGTTGCTTTGAAACATTAAAAGTTACACCATTTCCTCATGCCCTGTTCTCCCAAAACACAATGTGTAGGATAGCAAGGAAAGACCACGGAAGAAGGTCTCAATTTGGTGAGGACAAGCCAAGGGTAGAGAGAAACCTACGCAGACAGGATCACTGCACTCTTGATCGCTGCTGTATGTCTGCAGGGTAAAGTGTGATGAACAGAAGATTCCAATCTTTGGTATATTTAGGTGCTAGTTGCAAGGCTTGAAGAGTGCTACCAGGCCCCACAGGAGTGCTGACCACCCTATGTCTGTCATCACGACTACAGGAATGATTTCACGTTCCTCTGTAGCATACGCAGCCACCTACACCACAGCGAAGTGGTGTAAAAAGCTCCCTAAAACAGAGCAGTGGTGTCATGCCCTCGCTTCCCTTCGGTGCAAGCGACAGTGAAGTGCAGGCCAGAAGTCAGGCCACGTGCCTTGACAATTTGGAGTCAAGTTCCAGGTTTGGGAAAGATCAATAGAAGTGCTCTCACTAGAATTAAATAAATTACGGAACAAGGGCTTTCATAAAAGATATCCCCCTAAGTGCCTGCAACCTAAACAGTGCATCCTTGTAGTAGTGCAGGAGAGCCTGAAAGTGAAACCAACACTAGCTTGCTTTCACTGATTACACATTGCTCTGAGTTTGGCACAGAAAAAACACTTCACATTGTTAAACACTTTCAGGACTTTTGGTTGTTTGGGGGTTTTTAGGGTTCTTTTTTTCTCCCCTTTTAATTAAACACATTATGTGTCATGGTTTCATTAAAGCTTGCCTTTTCCTGCTATGAGCATTCACTTAAAACTGTTAATTTTACTGCGTTATGAAAGCAATTTTCAAGTTTTCTTTGGGGGGGAAGAGTGGAGGCATGTGGACCCTTAATATGGTTTCCCATACAAGAGCAGAACACCTTTAGCGTTGCTCTATAGAGCAATATTTTAGCTAATAATACATTTGCTTTTCTTAGTTTCATTTCACACAGATAACTTATAATTACTCCACGAATCTCCAGCACTTAAAAACTGCTCCTCTTTTATGAGTGAAATAAGGACTACTAGCGCCCCAGTCACCGCACAGTATTTGAGGCCAGGAGCCAGCAGGAACGCGGCTCTCAGAGCAGGGGTACCCTGCCAATGCAAAATCACTTGGATACATTTTGCTGGGACCTGTATGGGGATCTCCAGTTAATTTCAGAATAGGCTAGCATTACAAATGTTCTCTCTGGTTCACTGACTTAACTCATACAACAGCTTATTTAAGTAGGACCCTAATATTTTATGGAAACCTTAAATGAACATTTGCACACCTGTAAAACAAAACACACACACTGAAGGGCTGAGCTTGCTTCTCACTTACTGTGCACAAGCAAAACTAGTGTCCAGCAAATTCTCCCTGTGAAAAACTCGATTTTCCATTAGGCCAGGTCCTCAAAGCAACACGTAAGCTTTTCCTGAAGTAAATTCCTGGGCACCAGATGAACTATCTTTGGTTTAAGGGAGGGTAAGAAGTTACCAGCCAAAATGATAGGTGCAACAAAAGCCGTTCCGCAGAACTCCCTTCCAGAAGGGTTTTGTTTAGACCCAGCAGTCTCAGGGAGATGAAGCTGGCTACGAGGACACAAACTAACCGACACTATCTTAATGCTAGGACAGATCAACCCTTGGAAATCAAGCTCTGGATTTCCTAATGTCAGTGGGAGTGCCCTTATCTTCGGCCCTGGAGTGATTGCATTCTGCTGAAACTTTTCTGATTATCCTCACATTTAGCTAGAAAGAGCTCCCTCGCCCCACCCCAAATCCATGGTTTCATTATAAAATAACACTATTCACATACTTTTGAATCAATATTTTCTGAACACCTTCAGATGCTGAATACTTAAGAAGAAAAATATATAATTATATAGCGAGCGCATGCTCAATGACACATGGCTTTTTGCTGGATTCATGTACTATAGATGCCTCTAAAGCCCTAGCAGTCTGGAAAACAGCGACCCACACGCAGACAGCTGGTCTGGACGGCTGCTGCACGTTTCTGTTCTGAAGAGTGTAGCTCTTCCAGTTCCCACTTTGGTTCAGATTTCTTCTACGTTCAACCAGCGAGACACTTCTTACATTCCCATTCTTGGGCCTGCAGAAAACATGCGACCAGCTGCAATTTCACATCAAGGGCAAAAATGCAGCGCTGTTTGGACAGCTGTCGGTGGAATAAACATTAGTCCAGCAAACAAAGGTATCAGGCACAAGAGCAGACCCTAGGTTCCTTGGCATAACTTCCCCAAAGGACTAGGACAGCTGAGTTGGTATTTTGAAGATGCAGCACCACAACGGGCAGTTGCAACTAGACCAGACGGGGCACCGAAAGCCCAGCAGGAGCTGCTAGCAAGGGAGGTAATTCAGTACTGGAGCTGTGCAAACTGATGTCTGAGCAGCTCTTCAGCAGAGGGTCTGTGCCTGGCTTCCACAAAGATCTGCTTTAGAAAGTCCCGGCAATGTTCTGATATGTGAGAGGGGAGCTGGGGGTTGGTTGGTTGGGTAGCGATTTTGAAAATGGCTGCCATGGCTTCGTACTCTGCCCAGGGTGGTTTCTCTGTCAGCATTTCCACAACAGTACAACCGAGGCTCCTGGAAAAAGAGACAGGGAAAAAAAGCGAGAATTGACTCACACAATAATGCACAGTGTTGGGAGAGAACTTCCAAGCAGCCAACATCAAGGTACAGCTCTGCTCCGAAAACAGTTATAAAATGGCTTTGTGCTCAGCAAACCCCATGTGCGCACAGATCCTGAGCCAGACCTGCCAGCGTCGCTGCTTTTACTACTGTCAGGCTAGCAGTGAAGTGCGGAGACAGGCAGGCTGGTTTCCACCGTGGCTCTCACTGCACCGAGAACTGCGAAGTGCCATCTGTCCAGCTCTCCTTTGCTCAAATTCTACTCTCGGTAAACATTTTCACTAACAACAGGGGACAAGCGGTGCACGCGAGAGGTCCCTGAAGGCCCCGTTTGACCACAGCGGTATTTCGGGTGCTGCTGCTACTGTTGTATCTCAAAGGCACCTGCTGAGTTGCAAGGGAGAAAGCATACCTCTTAACCAAGGGCCAGCGAATGAGAGCTGGGTGACTCCCCAAAGCCATTTCAGCAAAATCTCTTTTCAGTGCACGGCCTCAGAATGCCCCCGTGGGAAAAGCACCCCTAATATCTCCACATCACAAGAAACTAAGCATCATAGACAGTCAAAAATAATTAACGTCTTAACAGCTCCAAACTGAGAAGACAGTAAGTTAAAACGCCAGCAGGGCAGATGCATCATCATGTTAAGGCAAAACCAGTAAAGTTAACGGGGCTCTGCAGGCTAATTCAAGGCAAGAACGTGATGATGGGGATGGACATGGCTGAGCCACCTTTCCGAAGCAAGCGTGATACCAATACTTTCACAGGGAAGATGGGTTTCTGTAGTACTCCAGTGACTGGGTTTTGTTCAAAAAGGATTAATGGCTTCCTCCGGGCCACAGATTAAGCAAAAGCAGTTAGCGAACTTCTAATATTCAGTCCTGTGTTTTGATCACATCATTGCATTAAAAAGGTGACAGTGCCTCTTCTACCTTTAAACTAAACTCTCTTTTGAAGTGAAAAGCAAAGAAAAGACATTTTCAGAGGCAGACTTGCATCAATTGCCAAGACAAGGAAGGAAAGGAATTAAATCCAGTGAATATGCAAGAAATGACTTCTTGACAAGGTTTAAAATCCAACGTGAAAGTTTTACACTGGTTTCCAGCCATTTAAGACTTACTAGAAGAGAGTACAGAAAATGCAAACCATGTGTGCTGAAGTGCTGGGGGTTTGCTCAAGAGCAAGCAGGGATATATTATTGTTTAGACTGATTTATACCGTTTAAGCAGATCCGGTTTCTTTAAGATATTAA